TGTTTTTTCTTTTTTTTTTTTCTTTTTCTCTTTTTTTTTCTTTTCTTTTTTTTTGTTTGTTTCTAGGGTTTTAAGCCAAAACCGAAGAATATCAGGCTAAATATTTCATTATATGATCATATTAATTGCAATGGATACTAGTGTTAAATTTGTGACCACAATTTTATAAACACTTAGTCTTTTTACTAATAATGAAGATAACTCATACTAAATGACATCTACTCTATCACTTTTTTTTTGCTATTAGGGCATTGAGTCTTGAGAACTTCGTGACTTCTCCTTTTCTGTATATAAATTTTAAAAATTGAATTCTATTGTATAATTCTAGCCACTCTTTGGCAAGGTGTGTCCCAATTAGATTCTTTCATTGTGGAAAGCCGTTAGCCTAAGATAACTTAAAATAGCAAAAATCAGAAAATTATTTACCATATATGCCAGTATATAAGTTTACCTCTAAAAAGTTTGGCTGTTAATCTAGTCTATATTCATTAAATGTCAGCTCTTTGTAAGTAAAGTAGTACAATTGTTATTAGTTTGTAAACACTTCTACTGCTGTGGACACATTCGTCTTTTATAAAACTTATATTGCATATCAATGTATATAGATGTTTTCAAGACCATGTAAAATGTTATACTCTTGTGCCGTTTCCAAATGATATTTTATTGTGTGTTTGGGGGTGGTGTTTAGCTTGGTCAGTACTGCATAGTATCCTATTGAAAACAAAATGGCAATGCCCATGAGAAATTATCAATGTCTTTATAGTCATTTATTTCAAGTAAATGACCATTTCCTATGCTATTTTCCCCAAAAAACTGGCTATACAGGAATGCTATAACAATGTGAAGCAGTGGTTGTATTATATTTAGAAAATCTAATTGAATTGATATTAGGGATTTATGATACTATACCAAGGTCACTGCTAGACACTCATCACAATTACATCTAAATTTGTGTTCCCTTTAACCTGTTGGTGTCATTCTTACACAAATAGAAGGTAGAATATAACAAATCCATCATTAAAGCTGTACTGTTTTCATTAGATAGCTACATTCTGTAAAACTGAATAATAAATCATAAGTTTTTCATAAATAAAGCTTAGTTAAGTTAACAATATATCTTCATTTTCTGTGAGATATATAAGCTTTCAGTATTCATTTTTGTGCCTACCCTGAGAGGATGTTCAGCCATGAGAACACTTACAAGAACTTAAACCTATAATAAAAATTAAAAACTGTTTAGGTCTGATCCTTGCATCTAGACATTGCTTACAGACACATCACATATTGAAATATTGGTTCCCATATGTTCACTGAAGTTAAACAATGTCAAGCTAGATGGAGGACTACTTGGGAATATCCAGTGCTGTAAGTTTGGATGTGTAGGTGAGGTAATGGATCAAAATTGTTAATGGGAAAGCAGAGTTCTAATTCTCATTGAATTTGTTATATTCACTTATGTGCAAATATCCTTGAGAAAGATCTGAATCCACCTCTTAATTAGTAAGACTTGTATCACTAAACCATTATCTCAAAAAAAAAAATTCTTACAATCCAAAAATATTTTCTGGCTTTAAATAACCTGCAAGGGTTAAGCTGTGTAAAAAAAAAAAAAAAAAAAAAAATTTTATTTTTTTTTTTTTTTTTTTTTAGGTTAAATGCTAATTAGTACTTTTTTGTATATAAGTAAAAAAAAAAAAATCTGGGAGCAAACAAAAGCTTTCTTTATGCACACAATACACAAAAGATAGTATAATATACAAACAAGAGAGCAAATTCAGTGATCTTTTCCTTTCTGTTTATAATTTCATCTTGAAGGGTGACCTGATGGGTATGGGTGACAAAATTGTAGAGTTTTCCACTAAATAGGTATTAAAGGAAAAAAAAAATTACCAATATGTATTGTGTAATGTTAGGGGTGAAAATGTTTTGGCCTTGTAAAAACATTTCTCATTCACAAAGAAAAAGTAAAAGAAAAGAAAAAGCAAGTAAAGTATAAGTCCCAAAATTCTTATCTTCCAGAAATTGTTGATGTTTTTGGAAAAACTTTTCTTTTTTGAGTCCAATTTCTTATGAAGGGAGTCTTCATACAACAGGAAAAAGACTAGACACAGGAATGTTTCTTACCTACTCCTTACATCTGACTGCTACAAAGTCTATCATGCAGACTGTTACATCTTGATATGTTATCCATTATTCATACCTGGCATGTGGATGTAGTAGTAGACACAAAATGCAGGTGAAAAGATAACAGAAAAACGATAGGTGCCATTTTAAAGTGACTTGACGAGTATAAAATTTCTAATAACTTGATAACTGTACATGCTTAAAAGCTACAATGTTGCAATTTAATAACTTGATATGTTTTTAAGCACAGTGGAATTTCTATCTTTCTCCATAAATTACAATAAAATTTTATTTTAAGTTGGTATCCACTCAGTTGGGATATTATGTTTTATTAATAATTTTCAATAAAAGAAAAGTGTTTATTTTATTCAAAACTGATTTATTAATAGAATATGCTCTAATGTGTCTGCTATAATTTGAATTTATTTAATTTGTTCATTTTACCAAATCTTAATTTATACAGATTTTTAGAGTTTGTCTTCAGAAAAACAACAAGATGAGAAGCAAAGGGTTTTGAAAATCTTATTTGAATCTCCTACATCTGCATCATTCTATCTTTTGATAGTAGATATAAAATAGATGAATATAAATAAATAGATATTTATTATTTCATAGCAGATAAAAAAAAATTGAGTTAAAATTGTTAGATTTCTATTCCAGTTCCAAATAGAAATTCATCTTCATGGACAAATCTTGACCGGCTGATATTTGTTTTTTTAAAAGGGTTAACATCAGAAGTTACTCTTAGCATTTGAAGTATTTAGGATTAACCATGACTTTTTTGATTTACAAATATATCTGGGTAACAAAAATAGGTAAGTAGTATCTATTTATTAAAAATTTAGAACTGTCCTACAAATTAACATCAGTAACTCTTTTAATATAATCACTCTCCTATTTTGGTAGATGCAATAGCCTTTTTATTGCTGGTGTTTATTTCTTTATGCTACCTTGAGAGTGATTAACTTTCAAGTTTTTTTTTTAATTAAACTTTTAGGAAGGCATATATAGTAATTAGAGTTAAAAAAAACATTAAATGCTGAGATAAAACAGGCAGAAATAATTTGATGATTGTTGTTGAATTAAAAGCATGTCTGAAGATGGAATTAGTGATTTTGTAATTTTAAGAATGTCAAAGTTGGAAATTTGCAGCTAAATTTAAATCTATTAGCTTTCATTTACAAAATTTCTTATGTGTCATAGGCTAGAATTGGGTTAACGTGTGTATTTAATCAACACATGCATGCATACTCAATACCTTTACTACTCTAAAAAAAAAAGTCTTTGCTCGTTGATCATAATTTGCTTTCTTGTTTTAGTAACTCAGATTTCCAGTGGTTTCTCTTCTATACCACAAATTAATCATTTGAAGTGTGTGTATTTATAGACATTGGTCTAAAAAGGGTGTTTCTCAACCAGTGTTACCTCTGGAACCCTAGTGTTAGTCAAGAGGTTGCTAGGGGTTCCACAAGAAACAGTAATAAAAAGGCTAATGCATTTTTGAGCAATTTTTGTTTAATTTTATATTCATAATTTTACTATACACATACAGCATGTTGTTGTAAAATCCTTGGTTATTATATTAAAGGCTTCAGCCTCTTATGTTAATGTATTTTTTGATATCTGTGGCATCAGTATGCCTGTATGTAATGGATTCATGTATCATTGTGTGACTCCCTCAAGTACAGGACGCATGCACCGTGTCCATATATTTTGTTTACCATAGGAACTATGATAAAAATATAAAAGATAGATACCCACAAGGGTAAAAAAGGTTGAGAAACACTGGCCTAAAATATCAAACCATTCAGTAAAGTGTGTCGTCAGTTCTAAAAGGTGTCCGTCTGCACCACTATAAATAAGGATTATATTTTTTTTTTTTTTTTTTTTTTTTTTTTTTTTTAGGAATTTACCTACATTTTGTAATCTCAAATTTTGCAATTTTTAAAATATTAGAGAAGTGATTATTGATATTTTCAAAATCTTTATTCGCCATATTAAGTGATTGACACAAAATCATGGATAAACAAACAAAAAATTGGCTTGCCTTTTATTCATTGATGAAATGATCCAGCAACTTTTTATATATATATATATATATATATATATATATATATATATAGGATTAATACAAATATAAAATTTCTCACTAAGCTGATTGATGTTATATTCAGCACCTCTACTCCAGAGTTTTATAGACAAACCTTTGTGCAATTGTTCAATCCACACATCAGGAGGTATCAGCAGATATATGACAAAGTGGAAAAAGTTTTTGTGATGCATTTCATCCTTTATATGTAGTTGCACCAACATAACAAATTTAGTCTGAAGTCCTAAAGGACGAAATATGTCATAGAAAAACTTTTTTCACTTTGTCATACATTTCTTCCCCAATATTGTTTTTGATATATAAAAATTTATATACCATTATCTCATAGAAATAAAAGTTAGTGATTTTGACTGTTTCTTATTGGATTGGTAACATCAAATAAGTAATTATAGACAATGGGAACAAGATTATCATTTAAGCAGATCATTTGCTACTTTTCAAAGTTTTGCAACGCAGAAGAAAATTTGAGATTAAAAATGGTGGTTCATAAAAAAAACAAAGCATGGTGGATAAGAAACTTGTTTGGAAAAAAAAAAAAGTTCCATCTGAGACAATTTTCACCCCTCATCTTTAATTCTATCTTGTGACTCTTCCATTTCATTCTTGCTTTTAGTTTTCCCTTCCCACTAATGTTTCTACTTTATGCACTCTGCCTGCCATAACACACCTTTTCCTTCATAACTAAATCTACTGAACATGAGCTTTCTTCATCTTTTTTATCCTTTCTTCCAATCAACTTAAGATATTTCTTTTCTTTCTTTTGCAGTCATCTCTTTCCCTCCCCCAGACCAATATTTGCCGGGGGTTGCAATAGTTATTATGTCCGGTCAGTGACATTTTCACGGTTGGGAACTTACCTTGGAACCGTGGCTGATGATGGGTAGGTATTGTTGATATTGTTTTATTTGCTTGCAGTAAAACCCAACCTGGAAAACATTGAAATCAAGGAATTGAAAAATAGTCCATTTTATTCATAAAGATCAGAGAACTATCATAGTTTTGGTTTAATTTCAGGGAAATCAGAATTTTTCAATGCAACTTGACATACATCAAATGACATGTTCATTATATGCTTTTGTGGTGAACACTCATCAATGCAGATGCAAAAGAGGCCCTGGATTGCATGCAGACATGTCTGCCAACACCAGTTACATCCTGGTTCTCCTCATTAGCAGTGGAAAATGAAGTCATTGGCTGTGAGTAGCTCATGCGGTGGTCCCCTTTCACAGAACACTGACTCCAGCTGACATATGATACTCAGTCTTGGCGTTGTAATGGCCACCACAAAAAAAAAAAAAAACGTGACTGGCCACAATCTGTTAGTGTCAGGTAGTGGCCACTGCAATAGTGAGTGATGTCCATGCTGAGCTAGTGCCAAGTATTGTTCACTCCCAGTCTGCTTTTTTGCCAATGGACTGGCACAGGATCTATTGTTGTGCACTCCACATTACCCCCAATAGCTGCTGGAAGAGCAATTGATAAGGTGTTTCCCCTAACCTCGACACACTCTTGCCATATATTAGAACAGCTTTTTAGATTGAAAATTGTTTGAAATGCTAAATGTCATTTATGTAATAAGTCATTGTTTTCTAGGATTAGTAAAATTTGAATAAAAATGTCTACTTATTTCAATCCTGATGGATGGACTGAAGAGTAATTCCTGTATTTGTTTCACAGGTCATGCCAATGAAAGGCAATCCTAGTAAAACTGTATTGCTTTTACCAAAAGACCATTTCATTGAGTAAAATGGGAAGATTAATCACATTCTTGTTAGCAAAAATGTTTAAAACATAACTGAGAAAGTATCGATGGAAGAACAGAAGACAGGAGGGAAAAAAGAGTGGGGTAGCTGAACAATTTAAAACCTTAGAAAAGAAGCATACAAGGTGGAAAGAGAGCATTAGAAAAGAACTGTGATGTTGATAGGGACATTGCTGAACTTACAAAATCAAGAAAGTAATAAACTTGATTAATTTTTATATTTGGAGTAGATATGTTACATTGGAATGATCAGAGAATTATATTCAGTGATGAGGCTAGGAATTCTGTTGAGATTCATTATTTATATTGGAATATGTAAAATAAATAAAATATCAACTCTGCTTTTATTAAAAATACATTCTCTTATAATCAAAGCTATAAATTTAAAGGCTTTTTTTTTTTCTTATTTGTAAATAATACCTAAATAGCACATTGTAGCACAAGACTGTTTAACAATAATAAAGTAAATTCCAGTCCAAATTTGGCCAGGGTTTTCCAAATAAATGACAGCCATGGACACTGAAAATAACTTTGATGAATCTAGTGTTAAGTAATCCAATTTGGATTACACATTGAAAATTCATTTACAGATAATTTCAATCTGTTGTTTCTTTTAGGTATGTGAGAATGTGGAACTTGCTCTCCACGTCAGAAGATCCGGAGTCAATTGCAATGGTCACAAATGGCCTGTGCTGTGGTTTCAGTCCAACTGGTCAAGTTTTAGCAGTTGGGTAAGAATTTTTGATTTTTTTCATAAGTTTTTGCATTTATTGTTGCAGCTGTGTTCTAACTAATGCGATAATGCACCATCACCTGGCCCTTTTGGTTATCAGCAGGGTTTGTGTATAGAGAAGTTTGATACAATTAAGCTTCTGGGGACACACATTGCAGAGGACATCTCCTGAACTAGCAGAGTACCATTGTGCAGCAACTCTGTCCTGAGAATTCTCAGAAGAAAAAAAAATTTTTTTACAAAGGAAGCTACTGATGACCTTCTACCGCTGCTCTGTTGAGAATGTACTGGAGTACTTCATCACAGTTTGATTTACCAGCTGCTCAGCAGCAGACAAGTGAACCTTCCAAAGTATTATCATTGTTGCCTGGAATATAATTGCATGCTTGTGACCCTTCTTGGGGGATATTTCTAATTCTCATTGTTGCAGCAGAACAGAAAACATAATGAAAGTGAACATGCATCTCAGCTACCATTTGTTTCAACTGTTACACTCAGGATGCAATTTTACTTAGATTAGTTCTAAGACAAAATGCTTGAGTGGTCAGGTTTTATCTTTGGGCCCTGTGTAAAATGAACACTACCAAACACTTGCCAATTTTCAATGTATTTTAAACATTAACAATTTTCGATAGTTTTTTTTTTTTCCCCACCCCACCTGAGGACTGCTGTCCATTTTCATTCACAGTGACAGGAAGAATAAATATAATTGGGTTTATTTTCTTTGTTTTGATAATGTCCACTTTGAAAAAGCCTTTTATTAAGTAAACTCTTAAGTAAAACAAATCTACAAGTTTGAAAAGTTTATATATGGATGAAATAATTATGTTGAAGGATTTATCAAAAATTATAATTCCCCCACTTTTTTTTCCTCTTTCCCCACCCTCTTTTGGTCTTTCTAAGGTATGCTAAACAATTTAATATTTCAGTTTTCAAAATAAAAACTTCTGGATCATTCATTAAGTTTTTTTCTTTGCTAATATTGCTATGATTGTATTGTAATAATAAAAAGATTTTTATATGAAGCCATATTTTTAATAGCAAGACTTGCTTTAAGTTTAAAGTTTGAGGTTTGACAATGGATATGACAGGTTTTTTTTTTTTTTTTTTTTTTATATTGTAAATTAAGGTATTAGTTTTTCCAAGTGATCACCATTCTCTTTGTTAACCCCTGTGAGATGCTGGTGACAAAACCTTTATTATAGGTAAATATATTAAAAATTAATCAAATGATGCTTCTAAACGAAAAAAAAATGTTAAGTTAATTATGTTTGCAAGTTAGCAAATTTAAACATTTCCTTTATCATTAATTTTGGTAAGTTTTTCTTTTTCACAAATTTGAATAAACACTTAAAATGAACTAAATGATTCTTATAAATTAAAAAAAATAATTCCTTTATCATTAATATTTTTATTTTTATTTTTTTTTTTCATGAATATGAATGTCTTTAAAGATTGTTGAATAAGTACTTTTTGAGGTTTTTTGCCAGTATCAAATAAAATGTGTGTTGCTGGATTTTTATTAAGAGATAGGATGTTTGATAAAGTTTATAGAAGTTTATATTATGCACACAAATATTTTTTGATGATTACAGGAGCCACTAAATTTTCTTTGAAGTCTAACTGCTAGAAGACAATGAAACCTATCCAATTGAGTGATTCTTTTTATTGATGGGTTATAATAAAAATGAAATGCAAATTTTAACTTTTTTTGTTGGGTGGGTAGGGGATTACAGAATTTTCTGATAAATGATTTTAAATTTAATTCTTTTCATTTTCTTTTGTAGAACACGTTCAGGCTGTGTTTATTTTTACACATCTCAACAGCGTGTGCCTTCCCTACAACACAAATGCCGTCAAGTGATCCGAAGTAAATTACCAAACAAAAACAATATGGATTTCTTAAAAATTCCTCATAGACTAAAAGAATACCTTTGTTATGAAGAATGGTGACTCATTCATGACAGCTGCTTGTATAAAAAGAACATTTCAACATTTCAGAAACTGGTTTAAAGTTAGTTACAGGTGAAAATTAATATCTTAACCCAGCATTGGGTTAGGTTTTCTTCAAAATGTGGAGACAAGGGAAATTGGGCTATTGCATATCTTACATTTTTGTTGGAACACTTTTTGGCTAGAGGTGGATTTCTCAAGAGATTTAATAGAAAAAAATTAAAGATTTAGATAGTGCAGGGTGAGTGATTTTAAATATAAAATCATTTTACCTAGAAGTTAAACAGAATATTTTTTCTTCTACAGATAATTAGAATTTAAGGTGTAAATCTGAATACCATTTAAAATTGACATTTTTTGCTAGTTTGCATTTCAGTCTGTCTCCCATAATTATTTTTCTTTCTGTTTAGTGTTACTTAAAAAGCTCTTTTTCATCTATAACAAAAGTTCTATGTATATATATATATATATATATATATATATATATATATATATATAAAGGTCTACTGATCAAAGCTGTTAATTAGAAACAATTTTTTTCTTTGAAAGAAGAATTTTTGGTCAGTCATATCATTATCTCCTCCCTGGCCTACAGGGATAACTGTAGGCTCTTGATGGAAGAATCCAGCTGGGGAGGAGAAAAAATTCTCCACTTTTTCCCTGTAATCAATTCTGTTGATATTCCATATTAAAATATAATTACAAAAAAAAAAATTAAAAAAATCAAACTCTGAGTCTTGGTCTCTGTCTGTCTGTACCCTTGTTTCAGGCAACAAAGTTGCAAAACTTTATTCTCATTTCTTGTTTTTACATAATGGACTCTGAGAGAAAAATACCCCATTATTTCTGTGACTGTTAATTGCATGAAATTTTTTTTTTTTTTTTTTTTTTTTGTATTATTTCAGTATTAAGTAATCATTTTCTCTCAGGTCTGTCTGATGTTCTTACAATATCTTATATCAACCTAATGTAAATTTAATGTCTACTTCAATTATTATCTTATTTTTATTTATTTTATTTTAAATTTTCTTCTGGTAGATTCTTAGCCTCATTAATATAATATGAAAATATTCTGTCCTAGTGTTGTTTATATACACACTAACTCATCTGTAGTAATTTCTGCCTTAAAATCTTATTTAATTTTGGTGTATGACTTTGTAGTTATTTTACATTGAATAAGTTATTTTTTTTGCTTTTTTTTTTAATACCTTTTTGTTGGTGTGGTAATATAAATTGCAAGTAAATTTAGAATATTTTTTCTCATGTTAAAAGCTTCGGTTGTCTAGATTTAAGTAATGTATAGACTGACTTAATCACTAAACATGTATCTGCTAAATAGAACATCATCAACAGACCAACTTGCATCTTTCCCAGGGGAAATTTATTTACTGAGGCTTGATGTGAACATCAATCTCTTAATAGGGTAGCATTTAAATGTTCCATTTTCATAAATCTTTTTTTTCTCTCCCATGACATGTTTGGATTAGAATCAGTCTTACCTATTAAATGCCATTACTTTCATCGAGTAAACTTTGAGAGCATTGAAAAATAAGGGAGTTATGAATATATCTCAATAAAAGGGTTGGATTCTAAGCTATTTGTCTAGTCTGTTCAATTTCCTTTACATCCAACTATCTTACAAAGCCCAGCATCATGGAAGTGGTTATCAGTCAAAAGTCAGTATGAGGCAATAGTTATTGAACCTAAAAGTTACATGTAACTATATTTGATATTTTGAGAGATGATAGATTATTAATTTATGCTACAAAAATATTTTAGCTGACATGTTTGCAACAAACTGTTTCTTTTAAATATTGAATAATTGCAGATGGGAACAGGAAAGCTTTCCATTTGTTCCTTAATCTAGATATAATTATTTTTGATGTCATCAGTATTAACCTAAAAGTATAGTAACTTTTTATCTTTAAAGTATAGAAATATATAAGAAATACTTATAATAAAAATATATATGCTGCTACCTTGTTGGTATTAAACCTTGCCATTAAAAAACAGTACTGACTGGTAAAATGGTGTTGCACAACCTTCAGAGTGAGGTAGATTTGCCTGTATTGAAAAATAGTATTTAGAAGCCTGACTTTTACTGATGTCAGAATGGATTTAGTTACAGATGTCAGAAGCAAACTTGAAACTCTGAGTATGAGTGAATTAGGTTTAGACATTTTGACTTTTGCTGAAGAATTTGTGATAACCTTTTAGTTTTTGGATTTATAGGATTCACAAAGATAAAAACCTTTTTTTTTTTTCTTTCTTTTTTTTTTTTTCCTCTCTTTTTTTCCTCTTTTTTCCTACTCTGGCAGGTATACCACACATGGATTTTACAAGTACTATGTTTATGTTCTGAGAGAATAATTTTTGTTAGCTTTAAAATTGATTTACATCCAATTCAGAGCAACAGGTTAATTTCTGATTTTGTGCTGGCCCCATCTCCACAGTCATTATTGATCTCAAAAGCAAATCTTTCAATCTCAGATTAATAATGAGTAAGTGAATGACAAAATAGTGGAGGAAAAACCTTTATGATTCTAGACATAAATTTACTGTAGAGGATTCTCAAATTAGTGCACTTTCAATAAATCTTTGCCTTAATAAGCTAATTTTTCTTTTAATCAAAACTATATTCTTTAAATTGTTATTATGGTCTGCCCTATTATGGTGATCAACTAATGCATAGTGTATTTTGTTTTGTGTTCATATAATATTTTATTTAAATTCCTTGATGTTTCACCTATGTATTTCATGGGACATTTTTCTTTTCTTAAGTTTATTATGCTTCAGATTTAATGTATTTTTTGTCTTTATTAAATCTCTTATTGTTTTTGTAGTTGTGACAAAATCACTCACAAAAATTACTACAATGGGATATGATGATAAAAACAAAAACGGTGAATGAGATGAACTAATTTAAATATCTAGATACATCAGGTGTGTAAATATTAAGGCTGAGCATCTCTGTATCTTTGCTGTTTCAATGTAAACTGTAACCAGCATTTGGTGCAACCCCCCCACTTGCCAAATATTCCCCTTTTTTTATATACAAGACTAATTCCATCACTAAGACCATTATTAGTCTAAAGAAGCTCCTTGGAACAAAATGCATCCCTAAATTCTAAGTTTCTCATTCATTCATATATATATATATATATATATATATATATATATATTATAATACTACTACTACTACCTTCATCAAATCCATAAGTGGAAAGGATAATCCAAGTAGGTCTTTTTAATACAAAATATTAAAATGATGGTTCCATGAAGAAAGCTCAGTGTATTGTATACAGAGCAATATGATATACATCAAAGGAAAAAAATTTAACACATCTCAAAAAAATCCAGTAATAAATTTATTTCAGTGGGTAAGTTTTTAATACCTACCTCATTAGGCCGAAATTACAAAATGGTTTAAATTTATCCAGACAATGTTAAAAAGAAAATGTTTTTTGACATATTGTCTGGATAAATTTAAACCATTTTGTATTTTCGGTTTGATGAGGCAGGTATTAAAAACTTACCCACTGAAATTAATTTATTAACAGATTTTTGAGATGTGTTAAGTTTTTTCCTTTGATGTATATGATAATATATTTCATGAAATGTCAGGCAAGGTAGATTGAATTAATTTCTTTAGTTTTTTTGTGCATTCTTATGTTTTTCCATTTTGTAGGAGTTATGTAGTACAAAAATTTTCCTTAATTTTCATTGTTCCAAGTGCTTCTGCTTGCTTCTTTAGTCATTGGGGGGGGGTGTAGTTTTCCTGTTTTGACTAAGCTGTATTTTATTTTTGTGTTTTTAAATAAGAGCACTTATTCTAAGGCTTCATGTGTTGAGTGCAGCTGAAATTTGCATGAGCATCTATTTAAAAAAAAAAAAAATCCATTTCCACTGTTAAATAGGTGAGGCTGATAGTAGAAGAGAGATGTTTAATATACAGGGTCTCTCTAATAGCGAGACGTGGCCGAAAAGCACTTGAGACAATGAAAATTCTGGAAAAAAATTTTGTGCTCTTTTACTCCAACAAAACTGATAAAACATAAGGATTCTGAAAAATGAAATAAAGAAATTAATTCAATATTCCTTGTCTGACATATTTCATGAAATTATATATAAATATATATATATATATATATATATATATATATATATATATATATATATATAAAAGATGTATATATATTTTTTTAAACAGTTGGGTTTTGGACAAATGCTATCCACCTCCCCATTTCTACCAGTTTCCATTGTACTTAACCACATAAATTTGTATTTACCTACATAAATAAATATCCAGTTTTACTTTTACACCATGTCATCAACAATAGTTTCTTTAATTTTGAAAACTGCCTTCTAGTAAAATAAATAAAATTTAACATTCAGCTAAATTCATATTTTACTTAAGACCTTTTTTTTTTTTTTTTTTTCCCTTATGTTTTCTAACTGATGATGAGTTAAAAGAACAAATTAGAATGCTTCTTCATCCTAATAAAGACATATGATTATGCTAATTAATATTTAAAGGTAGAACATCCTATTTAATCAACAGCATTCATCCAAAACTTCATTCACTTAAATTAAACTTTAATTCATAAAATTAATTTAAAATTAAACTACAAAAAAAAAAAAAAAAATTTTATTTTATTTTATTTTATTTTTATTTTTTTTACACATACTTCTAAAAGAGTTTGGACTTGTACAAAAACAATCTTAGGAATAGATTGCATCTAACTACATAGAAAAAGGCAGAATTTGGCAATAAATTTTATGTGCATTCATTAGGGACAGTTTGTTTTCTGATCAGGAAGTAAAATAAATTGTAATTTAGACTTAGTCTCCCTCTGGTGCTAAGAGGGTAAAAAATCAAAGTTACACTACTCAAAAAGACCTTATTGGTTTGTTTTT